AGGGAGGGGAGGGGGGATGTCGGTTTGTTATCATGCGAAACCCATATGTAACCTGAGTGGACAATGTACCAGTTATGTGGATGTACCTTTATTCTGCCACCATATTTCCCATTTTTCCCATGCTGTGGACCATATTGTATTTCTGGGTCTCATCCTTTGTGTTTCAATTTCGTATTTTTTAGTGGTATCTATTTCCCTTAGACATTGTTGGGTGTTCGGTGGGTATATTTTGAGCCATGACCTCCCAATTGTAGCCAGAGCAGCAATGATGATATCATATGTTAGATAGAGATCTGCTTTTTGGAAATCTTGTGGCATCACCAGCAATAAATACGTTTCTGGTGAGTGTGGCAATATTTTACCTGTGATTGTTTTAATCGTGGTTGAGACATCTTCCCAAAATGTCTTAAGCTTCGGGCAAGACCACCACATGTGGATCATTGACCCCAGCTCAGACTGACATCTCCAACATGACTGAGGTCTATTCGGATCGATTTTATGAAGTTTAGCAGGTACCAAATACGTCCTATATAGCACTTTTCTGCTAATTTCAATATGTGTGGTGTTTAACGTAAGGGTTTTGAGCGCCATAAATATTTTTGACCATAGGTCATCTGATACTGCTCTATTTAGGTCTTTTCCCCATGCCCTTTTAAAGTTGGGTTCTGGAGATTGATCATATTTCGTGATCAATTGATATAAGTTCGATAACATCTTGGGAGGAGGTTTAGGGGCTATACAAAGTTTTTCCATCTCTGTCAGCAAAGTGCTTTGTTTTTGAGACTTGTTCAGGCCAGAATGTTTCCCTACCCATGATTTTAATTGCAAGTATGAAAAGTAGGCCCTCCCTGGGAGGTTAAATTGCTGGGTAAGGGATGAGAAATCTGCCAAACGACCACCAACCATCATTTGCGATAGATATGTGACCCCATGTTTGTTCCACAAATTATAGTCAAAACCAGGGATAAGGATGTGGAGTGGCAGAGCTGGGGATATGTACGAGTCTAAGCAGCTTCTCCCAATGAGTTCATCCCAAGTTTGGAGTGTCGCTGCCGTTGTCGGGCTAAGTTTATGGCGCTTGGGTCTATATGCGTTAGGCAGCCAAGCCAGCATTGGTATTGTGAGCCCCGCCGCCTGAGCAGTTTCCATTTGACTCCATGGTGGTGGGTTGGTATAATGAAACGCGTCTATTAGTGTGCTTATCATAGCTGCCTTATAGTATCGTGCTATATTTGGCATCCCCATCCCGCCCTCTTTGAAAGGTTTATACATGACATCGGTCGCTACCTTAGAGCGTTTTCCCCTCCAGACAAAGTGGGTTATACATCTTTCAGACTCCTTGAGAAATTGTTTTGGCAATTTTATCTGGAGTGTTCGGAAGAGATATTGCAGTCTAGGCAATACCAACATTTTGACAGCTGCTATTCTTCCCATCCATGAGACATACTTCTTTTTCCAACTTTGTAATTGTTGTTGGATGGAACTAAGTAACTTCATGTAATTTGCTTTATATAATTGATGTATCTGGGGTGTAAGGTCTATGCCCAGAAAGGTTAGGTGATTTTGTTTCCAGTCGTATGTATGTTTGGTTTGTAGGTGCTTAAGTTGCGCTTTATTTATGTTTAGACCCATGACTTGTGTCTTAGCAGCGTTACGTTTGTAGTATGAACAGTTGCTAAATTCTGCCAATATATGTTGAAGCGTTGGGAGGGATGTCTCCGGCTTGGAGAGGGTTAGCATGACATCGTCAGCGAAGAGAGTGATTTTATGCGTTCTCTCGCCTATATGTATCCCATGGACATGGTGTGAGTTCCTGATATCTTGGGCCAGTGGTTCTAGCGCTAATATGTAGAGTAGGGGGGAAAGTGGGCAGCCTGTCCAGATCCATTGGAGATACGCAATGTTTTGGATGTAAAGCCCCCATTGGAGATTTTTACTGTTGGGTTACCATAGAGCACTGATATTAAAGTAATAAACCCTTCTGGGAATGCATACTTGCAAACAGGGCTGTTTTCAGGTAGTCCCAGTGTAGCCTGTCAAATGCTTTTTCTGCATCCAGTGACATTGCCACACTGGGCTCCCCTGTTTTCTGTATCGTGTGAAAAATGTTGATCAATTTCCTAGTTCCATCTGAGCCCTGCCTGCTGCGGACAAACCCCACTTGATCATCTTTTATTAGTTTTGGCATGAGGCCCCCAAGCCTGTTAGCGTAGATTTTAGCAAGGATTTTCAAATCCGTATTAAGTAACGATATAGGACGCAGATTTTGACATTTATTAGGTGGTTTTCCCGGTTTAGGCAAGGTCGTAATATGAGCATGCAGCATTTGTGGTTGTATAGCTTTTCTAAGTGTGGGGTTAACAGATTGGAGAAGATTTTGTAGTATAAGTTTGTGAACCCATCTGGGCCTGGGGATTTTCCCTTGGGAAGTGTTTTAATTATGGCTGCAATTTCTTGTTGGGTGACAGGTTCTGTCAGCAGGGATTGGTCTGCTTGTGTAAGTTGTGGCAGCTGCGCATTCTCTATAAATTCGTCTATCTCTGTCTGTAGTGGCTGATGTGTATGCTTATCGTTCTGCAAATTATATAACGCGGTGTAGTAGTCTGCTAGCATGTCGTTAATTGTTTGAGGATTGTACATTTTATGGCCCATTGCATCTATGAGATATGGGATTTTGGCATTATGTCGTTTTTGTCTTAACCTCCTGGCTAGGGTCTTCCCTGCTCTATTGCCTTGGGTATAGGTTGTCAACTTTAACTTATGCGCTATTGAGGCTGTAACCTTCACGTGGATATCGTTTAGCTGTCCTCTTATGTCATCTATGCGTTGTTGTGTGGCAGGGTTTGGGGCTAGAATCTGTGCATTTGTTTCGTCTCTTAAGGATTTCAATAAGGAGATGTATTCTTGTTTTGACTGTTTATTTAGGTGAGAAGCTTGGCTGATCAGGAAGCCTCTAATGACCGCCTTATGTGTTTGCCACAATGTAGCCGCTGATATATCAGGGGTATCGTTTATAGTGAAGAATTCTTCCATGAGTTTGACTTTCACGTCTGGGTTAAATAGGAGCCGGTCGCGTAGGCGCCATGGTGTCTGTCCCCGTGTTGTGAATGTGTCAGTTGATGTTAGTATTACCGGGCCATGGTCAGACCATACTATATTTCCGATTTCACTGTGCTGAGTCCTTTGTATGAGATCCCCAGATACGAATATATAATCTATCCTGGTGTATGTTTTATGCACTGGGGAATAAAACGTAAATTCCCGGTCATTCGGGTGGTGTAGTCGCCAGGCATCGTATAAATTGTATTCAGAAAGCAGTTTCATGAGGGGTGCTGCTTGTTTTCCCAGGAGTTTAAACCTAGGTGAGGATTCTGGTAGGGTGGTGTCTAGACCTGTCTGTAACGTATGGTTCAGATCGCCGCATATTATTGTGGGGGTCTGATAGACAGCTGGGAGTTTGGACAGTACTTTTTGTAAGTACGATCTTTGATTCTCGTTTGGGCTATATATTCCCACTAAATTATATAGCTCGTTATTGAGCTTGCACTGTAAGATGAGGTATCTGCCCTGTGCATCTTTTTTAATGTGCAAGAGCTCAAATGAGATTGAAGCATGGATGAGGAATGAAACTCCCCTCGATTTAGAGGTATAAGTCGAATGGTACTGCGTGGGGTAGTCTCTGGTGGCAAAACTAGGTACTTTATTGTGGACAAAGTGTGTCTCCTGTATACATAGGATATCAGAGTTCAGTTTTTTTGCCTCTGTTACTAGAAGCCTCCGTTTGTGCGGGGTATTCAACCCCCGTGCGTTAATGGAGTACAATCTCATACTTTAGTAGGGATTGTATAAGTGTCTGCTCTTGGGCCCAACTGGGTGTCAGTATTGACTTCATGGTAAGTGTGGGCTATTCTGTATTTCTGGAGGTTAAATCCATATGGTGCGTTGCATGAATGTAACGTCGGTGACCTAAAAAGTGTTTGGTATTGTCTCCGATGGGGTATGACCGACTTGGGGGTTGGTGTGGTCTCGGGAAGGAAATTGGGATGGGATATATAACTATGTACAGAGCGTCTCGTGTAGACTTTTTGTGGGTTTACCACATCTGGGGAAGTACAGGAAGTAATTCCTTCCATTAACGTGGCTTGGGGCACCTTCTTATTTGTGTGAATAGCCTGCAGACCAAACCTAGTTAATGGTTTGGTAATAAGGACTAGTTTAATTTGCTGAGGTGCATTGGTCCAGGCCCTATCCTATGTCCCGATCTTTCCTCTATTACGTGCCTTGGGGGCTTACGAGCCCCGCAGGCGCAGTCTTGTCTATATCCTTTTTAGGGTACTGGTGCGGTAGGTATATTGCTTTTCAACCCTTTGTGGGAGTAGAAAGCTCCTCCCGGCCCCCCTCCCCACCTCATCCGGACCCCCCACAGTGTACCCTGCTTATCGTGTGGTGTTTTTTTGTTTTGTTTTTTTTTCCTTTCTTTCTTTCCCCACAGCTACCTGTCCCACTATGAAGGGGGGGTCAACCCGGGATAATGTTATGCATACCCTCCAGTTCCCGAATGTGAGTCCCGTCCGGCTTGTTCGCGGGCCAGGCGGCCCCTTTAGTTCCCATCATCAGTTCTTCTTCAGTGAGTGCGTGAGGTCAAAGCAATCGTCGGTGGTGATGAGGAGAAGTTCGCACACTGAGTCCACAACCCCACCACCTGATCCGGGCCCGGGCCCCCCGCAGTGCTCCCCTGCTCTGCTCGCGCCTCGCACAGGGGCGGCGGGAGACCCGGGCACAGGCCACGCATCCCGAACCGGAAGGTTCCATCCGTGCGCCCTTCGGAGGCAATAGGAGCTGTGTTGCCCGGGAGGAGGGAGGGAACAGGCCAGGCGTCCCCAGTGAGAGCTGCCCACTGTCACTCAGTGGAATTCATGTAGGTCATGTCCATTGCTTATCAGGATCGCGCTGGCTTTAACGTTTCTCGCGTACTGTGTTCCAATTTGAGTTCAACGCTTTCACTGGCGGTATGGGTGTTTGTGTCTTCTCAATTTGGAGATCCCACTCTCCATACGATGGACCCGATCTACCAACAGCATGTCCGCCGGTATCTCAGGGGCGTATGCGTTCATAAGCTTCGTACATAAGCAGGTGACGGTCTCTGGGACTCCCCGCAATCTCAAATTATTTCGGTGAGATCGGTCCTCTAGGTCCACTAATTTCCCCTCCAAAGCTTCAATTTTGGCTGCCATACTTTCCACGTTTGTAGCTAAGTCGTTATGGGCTGTGGTGAATTCATCATATTTATCCTCCATGTGTGACGTCCGACTACCCAGTTCTTGGATGTCCTTTCTCATGGAGTCCGTCATATGTTGCCACGTTGAAATTAATTTGGTAGAGAGAGCCTGTAATGCTAGTGTGAGGTCCACTTTTGTAAGTTGAGTGGATTCCTCTGGTAGCGCTAGGTTGCCTTTAGCCGCACTGCCATCCGACTCCAAACTCCCATCCAGGATTGAGGCCTGCGCCGCCATGTTCGCAGAACACTGTTTCAGACTGAAAAAGGTGATTTTATCATGTTTCGCCGAAGTTTTCTTACTTCTATGTTGGGACATATCTGCACCGCTGGGTCATATGGACTGTAGATGGCCGGGATTGCTTGAGATTCTGTGCCACTTCGCTGGAGCAAGGTTTCACGCGTCCATCTTGCTCCTTGGCTAGCCACTGTCTTCAATGTTTTGTACTTTTTGTGATCATTGTACTATTTTCTTTTTAATCTAATTTGTATTTCGCTGTATTTCATTTGTAATTTTTTTTTCAAATTGTTGAACGCTTCTTTCCCATATTTCAGGAGATAACCCCACAGATTCTCTGTTCTGATTTTTATCATTCTTAAAGGGACACTCCAGTGCCAAGAAAACAAATTGTTTTCCTGGCACTGCAGGTCCCCTCTCCCTCCCATCCCATGTTGCTGAAGGGGTGAAAATCCCTTCAGTGACTTACCTGAGACCACCACCGTTGTCCCTCGGTGTGGTTAAGGGTCCGCCCATGCTACTCCCCCGCCGACGTCAGCCGGTGGGGGAGACCGATTGCGCACGTGCATTAGATCTCCCCATGGGAAATAATTGAAAATGCTTTCAAAGCTTTCCTATGGGGATTTTAATGACGCTGGAGGTCCTCACACAGAGGACGTCCAGCGACGCTCTAGCACAGAAAACCTGTGCTAGAAACCAGGAAGTGCCCTCTAGTGGCTGTCTAGTAGACAGCCACTAGAGGAGGAGTTAACCCTGCAAGGTAATTATTGCAGTTTATGAAAAAACTGCACTAATTACACTTGCAGGGTTAAGGGTAGTGGGAGTTGGCACCTAGACCACTCCAATGGGCAGAAGTGGTCTGGGTGCCTGGAGTGTCCCTTTAACCTGGATACTTGTTTCCATAGCCACGCTGCCTCTTACTGCCGCACCACTCGGTGATTGTGGAGTGAAAAGATTTGAGAGTCTTTCTTCTGCTTTATTGTCCGTTTTTCCCTTTTTTTTGTTGTTGTTTATTATCTATGGGCTTCCTAGTAGACATTGTAACTTTTACACAGGAGATCCCCTCCTGTCCTCCTTCCCCCCTTTTCTCTCCGTTCCCTCTCTTTTTCCTTCCCTCGCTTACTAATTTGTTAGTATACGTTATAGAGTATACTCATAGAGTGGAAGGAGAAGGGAAGAAATGTAGAAAAAAGAGAAGCAAACTAAACCTCAGATTGTTAGATATGCTAATTAAATTGTTAAAGGAGAGAGAATTAATCTAACTTTTTTAGCTAGAGATTTTGTCATACAAATAATCCACTGTTCCTTTAAGAAATTCAGTTGTAAAATTTGATATAAAGTAGAACACTACTTATCTTTGTTCTGATGATTTTTCTTATTTGTCTGCTTCCCTTATTGGAGTTATTCCTGGACACAGTGTTTCTGGATAAGTAGCCGATAATGTAAGAGTTTGTAGAACGCTGGTTAAATAACAGGCTGGTTAAATGGCAGGTTAAATAGCAGGCTGTAGCAAGCTGGTTACAAAGCAGGCTAGTTATATAGCAAGCTGTAGGAGGCTGGTAAAGTAGCAGGTTGATTGTGTAACAGGCTATGTAACGGCCCCCTCAGCATAAAAGGGTTAAACCGCCGTTTAGGAGAAGTAAATCCCCCCAATAACGAGACCAAGCTCCATACTGGGGATAAAACAAGAACTGGGTTTACTGTGTCCTTTTTTAGATCCATAGAATCTGTGCCGAACACCGCTGGTCCTTCGCATGGTTTAAAATGGCCGCCGCCTCATGGTCGACATACGAACGACGACCACCCTGTATTTGGTTATAATTGAGAGGTGTCTGCGGTTAACCACAACGTTCTAATTGGGATCAAGAGGTTAACCAGCAGCACACTTCTCTTCTGGGTGGCCATCCATGCAACTGTATTGACTGCATCTCCCGTCCGACTGCGGGTTCCGTGTCTCCCCCTTGCACCAAGCCTTTATCCGCCGGTCTTTAATCCTATTACATTGGTATCGCCGTCTCCACACCTCCGCGTCTGTCAACACGTTTCTGAAAAGATGGATGTTAATACAGGAGTGGCAGTTTCAGTTATCATACAAAAACACTGGGGACAACTACACAAACAGGCAACTATCCACCCAACCCCAATCAAGCTGCAGACATATTCCATGCAAGTGCTCCACCCACTTGGTTGTGCAAAGGTACAGGTATCATACAAGGGTCAGACAAAGAGACTACCAATATATATTCTGAAACACGTAGGACCACCTCTCTTTGGTAGAGACTGGATCACTCATCTGGCAATGCCAGACATCATTGAGTACCCTTGCAAGAACCTTACAGTCTGTAAGAGATCCACTGTTATTGCCTGGCCAACAGACTTGAAACATTGAACCCACTGTATTTGTAACTGTAGTTATGCAGAACATATGAATAGGAAAACGAATAACCCTGCTAATCCATTCGTATCACCAAACAAACTGCCGAACTAAAGACCACCAAGACCCAGTGTGTGTCGTCAATTAATGCCTTGACTCTTTGCAAAACCGCAAACCACAAACGTTCTAATTGGTTAACTGGGTGGCCATCTATTCGAATGCACAACACATGGTGGTGGCCATCTTGTTTTGTCGAAAGTGTCCAGCGGGGTTTGGTCGTCGAGTGTCTGGAACTATTTTCGGACACTCAAACTCCCGAACACCGCTGAGACTTCCAGGACCACTTAGCTTCGCACAGATTCATATGAACGAGGCGGCACACTATCACCAAAGGCACAAACAATAAAAATAATGACTGTTCGGTATTTTAAACCAGCTGACCGCATGGAACTATTTTTGTCAGGAGCCTCGTGGGCGGCCAGGCAGAAATGGGACTTCCATTTATCTCCCGAACCCATGAACTGATTCGTATGATTTTTGAATATGTTTTTTCCCTAATTATGCTCGTTTTGAAAATATACATTTTATGGAAATGTGGTGTATAATTTTAAAGTTACGAAAAATGAGTAAAAAGTGTATTTTTTGCTTGGACATAATTGAGTTGATACAGCAATTAACTCAATTATCTCCCAAGCAAAGGGGAGGAATTTACTGTAATTAATGGGAGTGTTTAACTGTGTGACTGTAAACTATTGGTTGTTGAGTTTGTGTTTTTGGTGCCTGTGAAGAAATGACTCCGTTCATCAGGATTTCTACCTTTGTTGCACAAGTTAATTCACCCAATTCAGCTGGAATTCGGCATATAGCTATAATTTCTACCATTCGAATGGATTCAGGCGAATTCCCCGTGTAAACTCTAGGTGGCCGCCATTTCGGCACTTTACACGTGGTCGCGGCCATTTTACGTGCGAACAGCGGTGTTTGCCCGTCAAACGCGTGGAACTAAAATCGGATACACAAACAGGCGAACACCGCTGAGACCTCCATACATCCAGAACTTCGCACGGAAAAAACCGAATGACCGGCCGTTCGGTAGTTACATGCAACTTCGTATGGGGATTTCAACGACCACGAAGATGCGAACGGATGGCAGGACTTTCGTCTTTTTTATTCGCCTAAACGGAGACCGACCGCAGGGCCAAAACTTATGGAACTATTTTCGGCTAGATGATCCGTGCGGTCGGTCAAAACTTTAGTGCTCCATAACTCCCGAACCATTCATCCGAATGGACTGATTTTTTGACATATTGTCCCCACCAGTGAGCACTATCCAGCGGTGTCCAATTTAAAGGTGTACCCCCTGTTTTTGGGGTACATCCAGAACTGGGGTAAAATAGTGCACGTTTTAATGAAGTTAACTGTTTATCAGAGGGGAGGGAGGTAGGGGCTGTAACCTGTACCTGATTGGTGATTTAATGCCTCCCCCTGGGTGTGTATTTTTTGTCTGTAACCCTAATAAAAAGCAGGCTGGAGATTCCAGACCTCAGATCTACTTGTATCCTGATTCTGGACTCTGACTGTTATTTGGGAATTCGTATGCTTTACCAAGGGGATTATCTTGGGAAGCTGTTATATTTCTTATGGACTTCATTGCTTGGAACTACCTTAGACGCTGGCATTGCAGGAGGAATTATCAAAGCGGTTCAGCTATACTTGATTTCCTTACAACTGGTGGCAAGCGGAGGGATTCGAATCCCAAATGGACATTTCAAAACAAGCAAAGGAATGAATGGCTCAGCAGTACCAGCTACTTAAAAGAACCACGCTAAAGGACTTACTGGAAGCTCGAGGCAGAGTGGCAAGTAACAAAACAAAAGCCACGTTAATTGCGGAGTTAATGCAGAGCGATAATACCAGTAATACAGAGATGGATCAAGAGGAAGAAACCGTGATGCAAAAGGACATCCGATGGACACTCAGTTTATTGGGACCCAATCCATCCTCAGAGGCGATACTGCAGGTCGTAGCACAAGCCAGACAAGCGCAAAAAGAGCGAGATGACCGGGACAGAGCGTCACAGGGGGATTTGCTACACCCCCCGAGAAGTATTGGGGAAATACCAAAGAAGGTAAATTATGCAGCGTTTAAATCATTTGTTGACAATGAAATGGAAATTGACAGTTACTTGCAAGACTTTGAACGTCAGTGTGCACTGGAGGGATTAGACTCCACCAAATGGGCTGCAGTCGTCAGCAGTAAATTGTCAGGTAGAGCAGCCGAGGCGCTGCGAGCAGTACCTGAGGGGGACATACATAATTATGAGAAAATAAAAGACATTTTGTTGGCCAGATATGCGGTAACTCCGGAGGCATACCGGAAAAAGTTTAGAGACCTGAGAAAGACTGGGAGAGATTCCCATACGGAATGGGCTTTTCGCTTGCAGCGGGCAGCCCGCAATTGGATGAAGGGCTGCCAGGCAACCACCCTAGAAGAAGCTTTGCAACTAGTGATACTGGAGCAATTTTTTAATCATACTGCAGAGGACATAAAAGACTGGGTAAAAGATAGGAAACCAAAAACCGTGGAGGAGGCCGCTAGGCTAGCGGACGAGTACCAGGATAACAGG